ACGCCCAGTCCTTCAGTATTTTTGATAGTTCTTCCTCTGGCGTCATACTTTCGAAGTGGTGTTTTTTTTCACGACAAAACTCCGTGAATTGCTTCCAAACATATTTGTCCGACTTCTCGGTATTTTTTGGCTTTAAATTTCTTATGTTTTCGTCCACCTCGGGCAAAGAAACTTTTCCAAATCTAATTTGGTTTGACATTTTTTTTTTAAATAAAAAATTGATTATGCGTTACCAAGCAACAGTGGCTTTAGCAAATCCACCAAGTGACAGTAATAGCGAATTCTATTGAAAGCGTTAGTGCGCACTGAGCTTATTCTTGTCTTTTTCTACTAGCTTGTATAAAAAAGAGATGAAACAAAAAAAAATCTATAATAAAATTTGCTATAATCATTGCCACCAAGCGCGATAATCCCAAATGCCACCAAGCGCGATAATCCCAAGGCTTATCACTTATTAAGCCTCTCGTGTCATATGGGAAAAATGTACAGTGAGTTGTATAACCTGCGTAAGTCATGCCTTAGAATTCCGGATATGTTTGGGATCGTTTCCGCGAAAAAAGTGTACAAGAACTATAATTCCTAGAATTCATATTCATAACATAGGGAATATCATGCAGTACAGTTACCGTATTATCGACAGCCAAAAGTACTCCCAATATCAAAAAATGCCAATTTTGAACACAAATATTTTAGATACTCAGGTTCACCTGCCTAGTCAAAAGCAGCGACTATTGAAACAACGAACTATACTTCAGCCAAAAACCAAAATACTTTTGGGCCAATGAGTAGTGGAAAACCTGCATCAGGCATTCCTGGATGGACAAAACTGCCACCCTTGTACCAGTGGCGGAATTACTGATTTTATAAATGGTCGGTCTTTTTGACCGACGCGCGTGTACTCCCGGGCTAAGAAGTTTTTGGTATTCACCATTGACATCTAGCCGCTGGGTCTATGTCAATTCGTCGTAAGTCAATTCGTCGTACGTCAATTTGTCGTAAAATCAATACGTCGTAAAGTCAAATCCTCGTATACGCCAATTCGTCGTACAGACAATTCGTCGTATACGTCAATTCGTCGTGAAGTCAATTTGTCGTATACGCCAATTCGTCGTAAAGTCAATTCGTCGTATACGACAATTCGTCGTAGCGTTAATTCGTCGTATTTCCGGTTTAATGTTAAAATGTATAAATTTGCACTTTTTCTATTTAAACAGACATTATCCAAGCTTACCGATAATAACGATGCATTACCATATTGTCGTATTCAAAATTCCTCGTAGCGTGGATTCGACGCATACGTCAATTCGTCGTAAAGTCAATTTGTCGTATACATCAAATTGTCGTAAAGTAACGTATACGACAATATAGGTAATTCGTCGTTATTATCGGTAAGTTTGATAATGTCTGAATAAACAGTAAAAGTGCAAATTTATACATTTCAACATCGTACCTGAAATACGACGAATTAACAATATGACGAATTAACAATTTTAATCAGACATTATCAAACTTATCGATAATAACCCGGTTAGTTTGCAATGTAATGTCTGATCAAAATTGCAAACTAACCGGGTTATTATCGGTAAGTTTTGTAATGTTTGAAATAACCAGACAGTGTAAATTTATACATTTCAATATTTTAACATAATACCTGAAATACGACGAATTGGCGTATACGACGAATTACCTATACGACGAAATAATGTAACGAAGAATTGACGTATACGAAGAATTGATTGACGTATACGAAGAATTGACTTTACGACGAATTGACGTATACGACGAATTGGCTTTACGACAATTGACATATTCACTTTACGACGAATTGACATATACGGCGAATTGAAATTACGCCGAATTGGCGTACGACGAATTGACGTACGACATATTAATTTACGATGAATTGACGGTAACCCCTAGCTGCTATCGTGCGGATAAATTTTTTCAGGGCAAATTCGGGCTGTTAAGCAGTTATCAGATAGTTTCCAGAAGTGAGGTTGTTTCAATGACGGTTATTTATTCTTATTGTTGTCTTGGGAGTTAAATGCCGGTAGTTCGTTAAATTTTAATTTGTGTACTTATATAACCTTTTATTCTCTAGCAAAATGAACAGATGAATGGATGAAATTGATCTGATTTTTTTTAGAAGTTCATCGGATATTCCGATCCACAGATGAAGATTTTCTCCTAGGCATAGGCCCAGAAATGTGATGGAAAGAATGATTTATTCACTGAATTGGATGATTAGGAGTTGCATAGAAAATTCAGAATAATAAACAAAAATAGCTCATGGCTGGAAAACTTACTGAACGAAGTCTTGGAGCCATTAGATTAGAGGAAAGAAATTAACCAATTTAAAAGAAATCAGATTTTAATTGCATTGCAACGGGGTCTTTTCAACTTTGTATTGGTGAAGATTTCAATGTTTCACAACCAACTGCATTGGTATTCCTGATTACTTTCAAAATATTCCTCATTCGAAGAAATTAGAATTTCCTTTTCGCGATCAGAAAAATTAGCTGCGCGCTTCGTTTCTTTTTCCATTTGGTATTCGTATACGATAATTATTAAACAAATTATTAGGATTAGGAAGTTGTTCATTCGTTTGACAGCCCAAGAAAAGTTATTAGGTCTGTTTCTGCAGAAATCACAAACCAGAGTGAATTCCATCGTTCCAATCTGTGAAAATCGACCCTTATGTTATCCCCGCGTCTAGTTAAGTATTCATGTTAAGAGCTATTGTTATTATAATATTCAATGATTTTCCTACAGTAAAGAACACACTCATTTAACTGAATAAACTTTGCTTTTACATCATTTCTATAACCGAGCCCCGCCACAATACGCACAGCCCTTCTCTGCAGTGCAAATATACGTTTGTAATGTGCTGAATGCCCCCATGTCAGTATACTGTAGACAGCGACGGACTGAAATGTCTGTTATAATGCGCCTTCCGGAAGCACACGAGACAAGTTTTTTAGCAGAAAAGTACTTTTATTTGCAATCATATATATAATCTTGTCATTACTGACTTTTTAAAAATTTGTAAGTGTCACTTTACCTGTGTCACTTCCCTCTTCGATTTCCCTCACCGATTTCCCTATTCGACTTCCCTCACCGATTTCCCTTACTCTAATTTATTTACCTTTGCTGGCAACAATGAAAGCATATGTCAGGTAAAAACGTCAAAGCAGCGAATGACACATTTTGGCATGTTTGTTTTATTTTTTTAATATTAAAAAAATTGAGACTAATCATAATTAATGGTGTGCTTGCAAATAAAATAGTATACAAACCTCGGAGGGAAGTTTTCATTTCTGTCTCGAGATTATTAGTCTGACTATATAAATCTCTCGACAGTAATGAAACACTTCCCTACTCGGTATGTAATATACTATTAGTCAGTCGTTCTGCTGTGTGGTTCACATGAATTTCAAATTTTTGTGTAGGATCAAAATACACTCCAAGAAATTTCACTTCCTCGACATTTTCATTTATTTCTCTCAGTCCACACGCCATATTCACAGTTTGTTTCATTTAAAGTTAGTCTATTGGAAACAAACCACTTCCTTAGATCATCCATCTTTGCATTCATGCTTACTCTCAACTCTTCCAGATTTACCCCTTTCTGAATCACTGACGACGTGACTTCTGCAGAAACAGATCTAATAGGTTTGTTTCTGCAGAAATCACAAACCAGTCAGAGCGAATTTCATTGGTTGAAAACAGTCAGAAACAGTCAGAAAACTAATTTCAACCAATGAAATTCACTCTGACGGGTTTGTGATTTCTGCAGAAACAGACCTATAATCATTTATCACAAACCAGTCAGAGTGAAATTCAGTGGTTGAAATTAGTTTTCTGACTGTTTCTGACTGTTTTCAACCAATGAAATTCGCTCTGACTGGTTTGTGATTTCTGCAGAAACAGACCTTATAAAATTCGCTCTGACTGGACTGGTTTGTGATTTCTGCAGAAACAGACCTATACCTACTAAAGAAACATTTTTATTGGTGAATAGCACTTGCTACTTGCTTCTATCGGACCGATAAATGTTAACAGACTGACAGCTATCAGATCTCTAAATTGATTTTGGTGAATACGGGCGTAAAACAACTATTTTATATCTGGTTTGCATCTTCCTCTTCGCCTAATATGTTAATCCAAATTAAATGATATTTTTCATCATAAGAAATTCTAAGCTACGACCGCTGGCGCAAACAGCTGACGACTTAGTTAATGACGTCAGTAATGGTGCTATATCACATGACCGCGATTACCAAAAACGAGGCCAATAAGCAATCCATACCATTCCGTGCGTTCGGTATTTTGATCTGAGTTCTTCGAGCTTGAATTTACCGTTCGTTTATTTAAAAAGTTTACTCGGTGCAGGCTCATTTGCGTTACTTTATTAAAATTTCGGGCACTCTGATACAGCATTCAACTGCTCTGTTCGCTCGCTGGTCACGTGATTACGGCTCCGCTCAAGACCCTCTGCTCTTTGAGGAAAATACCGAACGCAAGGTTAGTAGTGAGTAATATCCTTGGTGCAAAAGTACCTGACGTTAGACGATACTATCGAATCTTGGGTTTAGAATCCGTGTCCGGATTGGACGAATCGAAGGGCACACTCCAGTGCACCCTCTATCGGGTAACGCTCTGCTCCGGACTTTGCTTAGACAAACTTTGCCTAGATTGTTCAATATGAGCCGCTTTCCAGCTGACGCTTTTGAGCACGCAATCGAGCTTTTGCGCGCGCAAATGCTTCAAGCGCGTGTTTGTGTTCCAGCCGTACTGCGCTTCGAGAGCTGCTAACTTTTGCGTTTCAAACACAGAACACTGTGCTGCACCGTGCTTGAAGCACAGCACACAGCTGGAAAGCGGCTATGAACGTGCCCCTGACATACCGGAATTTTGAAAGTTACCGACAATTTCACGTGGTGAATTTCGGAAAGTGACTCTACCCAAGACACTTTTGACAGTGACATTTGACAGTAGACGGACATTGCTGACCTGACAACTTGCAAAGTTGTTGTTTTTGTTGGTTGTTGATGTGCTGGTTGATGTGTTTTGTTGCTTCAGAACAATGTTAATTAATTGAAAAAAAAAAATGAGTTAAAGCCCAAAAAATCCTCCTCGAACCTTAACAAACTGGTTTCCAAAATCATTTTATCCTATAGCATGAAATAGACTTCCCACCTGCCTAGCAATGAAAATGTTCAACAGCAACTTGCTCTATGAAAAGAGGCCTCTTAAGAAACCTAGAATAGGGCCTCCCGACGTTTACCCCCAAGAACCCAAACAGAAAGAGGACGAGCTGACCAGCGTTAACGTTAAACATGGATTTCCTACTATGACACACTTGAATGATGAATTTGGGACTGCTAAGAATTGTAATGTTACTGCTAGCAAGGTAAGAACATTTGTGTTGCTTTTTTAATTATAAATTTGACTTATCATGGTCATTTTTGGTGGACAAGATTTTGTTCTTCCGGCTTTTTTCAATAATCACAGATAAATACCAAAACTTTTTTTAGGGTTAAATTCTGAAATTTCTTGTTCATGAGCCATGGTTTTCTAATTGATTATCATACATATGATATTCAACTTCTTTATTCCTCTTCCTAGGTACCCCACAATTTTGTTCCTACAATACTCTAAGTATTATTTATTGTAGGCACCTACTTGAGATTATAACTTTTTTCAAATTTTCAGTTTCTCAAAATGGGGCATTAAAAATTGTAGTGGGCATGGGCATACCCTGACACCGAGCTTGAGACTTAAGGCCAGTTTAGCCAGCTATTAGTGTATAATGCGCAATTCTTAATTCACAATTCATAATAGCCAATGCTGAATGTATTTTTGGGGTAAATCGGAATCCAACTAAATCACAGAATGGATGAAAGTGGGACAATTTCCAGTGTGAAAAAAATATAGCAGTATTATGTGGCAGCATAAAATCAGTCTTGACCTTAGGAAGAAGTTTTCAAAATTTTTATGTATAGACATGGGCGAAGTTATAGTCCTTGGGCCCAGATCTAAATTTTTTATTTATGACCACACCGTCGAAACTTTTTGTATTTGTTATTTGGGTGGAGTCGGACAAATTTTGAGCTTAGCGCATTATGGTAGTGGGGTGTTTGTCTGTCAAGCTGTCACGAAGTTGTCGATTTTATGCAAGAAAAAAATTTATGACCACATTGGTAATTTTTTTAAAATCAATAGTTTTTATCACATAAACAACGAAAAAAAATGTGTTGGACAAAAATATTGGGGCATTCGACGCGTCGGACACGTTGAATATGTCAAATTTATGGGAAAATTTTTTTTATTACCACACGGCTGATTTTTTTTTTTCCTTTATTTCAAAATGGTAGTTAAACAATATGTATGAACCTAAACTAGAGACCCTGAACTAGAGAGCTATTCGGGTCATTCAGTATCACATATAACATTATTACAATATACCATATTATTTTATACATTATACAATATCACACAAGAGAAAATATCCAGTACAAGTAGGTACTGTATCACAAAGTTGTTTCATTTATGAATATCTTAGCTCTAAATTGCAGATAAAGTCTTTCATTGTACAGTCCCAAAGTATCCATCGAAGATCAGCTGCTTCAGCTTACACTTGAAGCAAGTTATGTTCAATCTTTTAACAGGTTGTGGAATTCGATTGTAGTACCTTAGTCCTTCTGTTAAGATGCTGCGTTGGCCAGTTGTAGTGTTCATTGCCGACGTTCTTAAGTTTTCATTGAGTCTGGTATTGTGCTGATGGACTGTGTTGGCTGGGATGAGACTTATTGTAGAGTGAATATTGGAAGTCTTGCAAGAATGGATAAAGATGCACGATTGCAAGATATACAGAGAGTGAACGTCCATTTGAACAGAATCTGCCATAAAAATATTTTACAATAACGTGGTAACCTTGTCGGACAATTTCCACGGGGCATATGCGCAGTCGGATGCGCCAAAGATGTCAATTTCCTGCAACAATTTTATTTACAACCACGGATGCAATTTTTATTTTTCACTGTTTCTTTACATGTGTAACGCATATCGGATCAATTGGCTGACAAAAATAATGGGGCGTTTTGATACAATTTAAAAAAAAGTAGGTAATTTTTCACTTCGTCACTTTTCAAAATTATCAGACGCAAAATTCCAAGATTAGAGCAACAGTTAAACGAAAAGAACAAATCAATAATTTTCCCAACAATGGCTAATTTTAAAATAATTTAACTAACTTTGCACCCTTGAAAAAGGGAACAATAAAATTTCTGAAAGCTCGGCGTTTGTGAAAAACTAGTTTTATTTTTGCCAAGACTGAATCCTAAGAATCATCTCACTTATTAAACAAGCCAGTCAAGAATTTCTACATCTATAATTTATAGTATAGATGCATACACACATACCCACACACCTATATGTTTTATACAGGGTATGAGTTACTAAGAGCGCAGTGGTCCCTATCTCCTATACTAACAGAGATCGAAGAAAAAAGTAAATACAAAACTTGTAGATAAACATGAGTGCTACATTCCTAAATTATTTTCCAGTATACAGGGTGGCCCAATAAGTAGTGGTGACACAAGGCTATGTTTTTTAAATGACTAGCCCTGTATATTATGACATTTCTGGATTCTGCGGAAAATTCTAGACATATTTCATGTACAATATCATATACCTATCTTCAACTGTTTCGGAAGTATTGACAGTTTAAAATTGACTCTTTTGCATCTTTGACAGACCTAAATTAATTTTAGAGAAAAACCGATTTTACATTCCTATCTTAGATTTCCATAAGCTATCATTTGACACCAACTTTAAATTTGACCGAAGATTATAAATTTAAGCGGAATTTTTAATTATGGATTAAATTCAAAGTTGATGTCAAATGATGCCGGTGAAACGAGCATGCGGAAAAGTATAGTTTTCCGCACGCATTTTAGGTCATGAAAGTATCACTTTTCCGTACTAGTGCTTTTCCGTTTTTTTCTGCACTGAGTCCGGAAAAGTAGAATACCTGAAATTTTTAGGTATACAGGTACTTACAGGTAAACAGGTATACTACAGGTACAGCTACAAATCAAATCAAAATTTATTCATGTTAATTGTCGCAATAGCAACTTACATAAGTCAAATACATAATATAAAGAGTAAAAATTACTTATTTCTAACAATAATGTCACACTACACTAAAAAGAACTTATTTTAAATAAAAACAAAAAACTGGATTTAACACTCAACACATAGATTGAAAACAGTATAAATTAAAAGCATAAAGATCAAAGAAACATAGTTAGGCGCTTCATTATTCATTACACATTAAACATTTCTACACATTAAAATCAAAGTGGAAAAATTCCTCTAAAGAATAAAAACTGTTTCTCATCAAGATCTGTTTGATTGTTTTTTTAAAAGTTAAAAATGGCAAGCTTTTAATTTCAGCTGGCAGTTTGTTAAATAATTTAATAGCCCAGTAACCGGGACCATCGTGACACCTTCCCAGACGCCAGTACACTGGCACCAGAGCATCCCTGCCCCTGGTCTCATAGTCATGCACACTTCGGTGCATGATAAAGACATCAGGATTTTTTTTTAACATAAAGAAGGTTCTCGAAAATGTAGACAGAGGGACCGGTCAGTACGCCCAGCCTCCCAAAGGCCACCCTACAGTCCTCCCTGAATCCCAAACCACTCAACACTCGAAGTGCCTTCCTCTGCATTCCAAAGACACGTCGAGCATCGGCTGCATGGCCCCAGGCAATGATTGCATAAGAAAAGTGTGCATGGAAAGTTGCAAAGTAGGCTGTTATCAATACCTGTTGCGATACCCTATCAGCAAGATTTCTGAGAAGAAAAAGATAACTAGCCAACCTCGAGACTATTGTGCTGATATGTAAGCTCCATTTCAGCTTAGGGTCAACAGACACCCCAAGAAATCTGGCACAGTCCATGGAATTTATTTGGTTGAGTTCACTCATTGAAAATACCATCCTTGTTGTTTTTTCAATATTCAAGAGCAGCTTATTAGAGTTAAACCAGCCCTGAGCCAACTCCTGTGCAACCATGGAAGCCTCCAGAGAATCCTCCAATGTATCAGCAGATACGGATACTGTTGTGTCATCGGCAAAGAGAGTGTACTTTGAGTGTTGGTCTATAAATGGCAAGTCATTAATGTAGATGAGAAAAAGTATGGGCCCCAAGACGGAGCCTTGGGGTACCCCAATACTTATTTCTCCCTTTGCCGATGTCACACCAGCATAACGCACACACTGACACCTACCTTTAAGGTATGACTGCAAAAGGCCTATACTGTTGGAGCAAAAGTTGTAATATCTCATTTTCTCCAAGAGAATTCCATGATCTACACAGTCGAAGGCCTTACTCAAATCGCAGAACAAGACCGTGTTGTATTGATCGTTATGGAAAGTGTCCAATATACCCTGGACCAGATGCAGAATGCCCATGGAAGTATCCCTATTTTGCCTGAAATCAAACTGGCAGCCATTAAAAATACCATTACCCTCAAAGAAACTGACAATCTGCATCGACATGCACTTTTCCATAACTTTAGATATTATTGGAAGAAGAGATATTGGGCGGTAGCTGTTAGGAGTATCTCGATTTCCTTTTTTAAATATTGGAACTACGACCGCAATCTTTAGAACGTCTGGAAAAACACAATGTGTGAAGCACTGATTTATAAGCAGTGTCAAGGGGATGATAATTTGATTTTTTATGCATTTGATTAGCTTTACATTAATGCCAAAAGTATCACAGCTGTTCTTATTTTTTAAGTTATCAATAATTTCACGTACCTGAATAAAGCTCACCTCTTTAAATACAAACCATTCAGGTTGACTAGATTATCTACAGGATTTAAATTGGAAGTTGGTATTTCAGCAGCTATAAGTTTCTGAGTTATGCTTAAGAAGTAACTATTAAAATCATTTGAGTTAAGAATTTCACTATTAACATTACTCTTATTTTTATTATTTCTGTTGTTGTTTATGATACGCCACATTTGCTTACTTGGGTTATTTGAGGACTTTATTAAATTATCATTGGCTAAAATTTTGGCTCTACATATTTCTGACCTATACAGGGTGTATATTTTAAGTGATACCACTATGGCTATATCCGAAACGGTAAGAGCTACAAGGTCGGTTAAATTAGAAAAAAGTTGCCTTTTTTGATGCTCATTCAAGACTTGTTTACAGTGTTGCCAAAGTCCTTTCAGTTTATGAAATACAGGGCGATTTATAAAAAAGGCCTAAAATTATTTTGTCAATTATTTTGAAAACTATTGATATTCGGGACACAATTTAAATTTGAAAGTCTTATAATTTTTTTCGCTCTACAACATAGCATCTTCAAATTTTAAATCCGACGATTCGTGATCGAGAAACCATCATCAACTTCATTTTTTTAAATACGGACGTGGATTTTTTATGTCATTTTTGGAAAGAGAATTAAGGGCGCTTCCTAAAAATTACATAAAAAATCCAGGTCCGTATTTAAAAAAATGAAGTTGATGATGTTTTCTCGATCACGAAACGTCGGATTTAAAATTTGAAGATGTCATGTTGTAGAGCGGAAAAAATTATAAAACTTTCAAATTTAAATTGTGTCTCAAAAATCAATAGTTTTCGAAATAAATGATGAAATATTTTTGGACGTTTCTTAGAAATCACCCTGTATTTCATAAACTAAAAGAAATTTGGCAACACTGTAAACGAGTCTTAAATGGGCATCAAACAAGGCAACTTTTTTCTAATTTAACCAACCCTGTAGCTCTTACCGTTTCGGATATAGCAATAGTGGTATCACTTAAAATATACACCCGGTATATTTTATTAAAGCTACGAAAAAGTGAAAAAAAAAAAATCTTAAATTGATGAATATGTAGGTAAAAATATTACCTTCCATCTCGTAGAAAAAATACTGTTTCCTAACACGTGCGGAAAGTCTCTTTTCCTACGAGCGTGCGGAAAACGCGTTTTCACGCACTGATTTGCGTGCGGAAAGTACCACTTTTCTGCACTGCGTGCGTGAAATTTTTTTACCGCACGGCGTGCGCGAAAAAAGTTTATCACGCACGCTGTGCCCGAGAAAAGTTTTTCACGCACTGATTTTTTTTTTTTTTCAATTTTTCTCTTCATGTCGTGCTCCTCAAAAATTTCAGATTTTTTTGAAATTCCTCCACTGTTTTTTCTCTCCCAGAAAGCTATTAGGTTTTTGCACTGACCAATATCGACCTCTTTAACGAGTTGTATACCATAAATAATAATTCTACTTATAATAAAAATAATTGTTAATGTTCTATTGTTGAAATCATTGCGTTACTGGACTCAATTAAAAAATCACATATTTGACCATTTCTCTTATAAGTAGAGCCAAATACAAACAAAAAAACAATAAATATGTCAATTTCCGCACGTTCGTAGGAAAAATGTTGTACCTAACACGAGCGTAGAGTATCTTTGCCGCACTTATGGCTTGCACGAACTCCGCTGGCGCGTCGTTCGTGCAAACGCCGTTGCGTGCAGAAAAGTATAACATTATGCACTTGTTAGGTAAATAACTATTTTCTATTTTGGTGTCATATCGAAGTCTTTTCGACACTAAAAGTAGTTTCGAAAAGAAGGTCTTTGTGACACCCCTTTTTTACTTATCGAAGGTTGGTAACACTGGCTGACTGATGGCCATCGAACTGTCATTCGCGATAAAAAATAATAGAAGATTTCTATATTTGGCATGTAGTGTTACCAACTTAAACATATGAAATCAAGAAATACGAGAATAAAATTTCCAAGAAAAGTTTTTTTTAAATTAAACAATACCAAAATAGAAAAAATAGTATAAAATATTCGGTTCATAAGACATTTTATTGCACTCGCCCTTTAGAAAACTCGCCTCCGGCTCGTTTTCTAATATAGGGCTCGTGCGATAAAATGACGTCTTATGAAACTTGTATTTTAATGTACTATTTCCGCATTTGATTGCTTGCCGAACTCCGCTGCGCGTCGTTTGGCAAACTGCAATCGCCTGCGGAAAAGTGGTACTTTCCGCACTAGTTAGGAAATATACTATATTCATTTTTATGCGAAAAATCATCACAAGCAATTTGAAAATCGCTTCGTCTTAAAATTTCGCCGCACGCGTCTCAAATGTTTGTTTGTATTGCAGCGTCGGCGTATATGTAGGTACTTGTATGTTTATATAAAGTAATATAAGCATTAACTCATCCTTATAATTTAAGAACGTCGATAGCCTATAAGAATTAAATTTCTTGTATGTTTGCCCCAACATTTTTGTCGGACAATTACATTTATTATTTAAGAATATAATTACTGGTAACCTTCTATTTTTGTCGGAAAAATATTTGTAAAAAAAGGGATACCTGAACCCAGTATAGTTAAGAAATATCGATTACCAATAAAAATTACATTTTTTGTCCGACTGTCGATATGCCCCAATATTTTTGTCCGACACTTAGATTTTTTGATTTAGAATATAATTACTTAGACCCTCCTATTTTTGTCGGAAAAATGGTTGTAAATAAAATTGTTGCAGGAAATTGACATCTTTGGCGCATCCGACTGCGCATATGCCCCGTGAAAATTGTCCGACAAGGTTACCACGTTATTGTAAAATATTTTTATGGCAGATTCTGTTCAAATCAGCCGTGTGGTAATAAAAAAAAAATCCCATAAATTTGACATATTCAACGTGTCCGACGCATCGAATGCCCCAATATTTTTGTCCGACACATTTTTTTTCGTTGTTTATGTGATAAAAACTATTGATTTTAAAAAAATTACCAATGTGGTCATAAATTTTTTTCTTGCATAAAATCGACAACTTCGTGACAGCTTGACAGACAAACGCCCCACTACCTTAATGCGCTAAGCTCAAAATTTGTCCGACTCCACCCAAATAACAAATACAAAAAGTTTCGACGGTGTGGTCATAAATAAAAAATTTAGATCTGGGCCCAAGGACTATTAGGGCATCAGATCTGGGGGGGCTACAGCCCCAGGCCCATAGGGGGAGGGGGGGCTCGCCGCAAGCGCCTCCGGAGTCAAGAAAATTTTTGGGGTGCCACGCCCAAAAACGTTCATTTCGACCCACAAAATGAACGATTTTGGGCGTTCTGAGCCTTCAAAAAATAAACAAATTATTGTTTATTTCTGAAAGTAAAAATAATATTGAACTAAATAAAAAATTGAAAAATGGGCCATATGAAACTCTGCAAAACAAGAATAAGGATACCTAGGTATAATCAAATCATTTATTTTTGTTAAAAACATAAAAACATAAGTACATTGCGTTGTGATTTTTTAAGTAAAGTAGGTATTTTTGGATTCTGATTTTTTGAAATACCTAATTGCAGGAGGGTGGTACCCCATATTTTGTAGGTACTGTGAAATTAACGTTCCATAAATATCCACACCGAAAGAAAAATGAAAATGAAAAATTCTATTTATTAGAAATTACAACAGCATTTATTGTAGACATTTATTGGAGTAACAGCTTCCGATTTCGTGATTTAATAAATTATTCTAGAACATCATCTAACATCAGGGATTTTCATATCAATCATCATCATCAGCAGAGGAAATTAGTAATGTTAAAGCAATTTGCATAAGTCTGTATGCATTTGGAAATGTGTGTTTTCTGACAACATTAGTAATATCGGATATGCTAATATATTCGCCTTGTTTCCCAATACAGTTCTTTATTACGGTCATTTCAGCCTTTAGAATCTCCTTATCAATTAAGAATGTGTTTGCGTAAAGCTGAATGAATTCCAAACAGCCATCAAAATTCATGTGTAAAAAATTATGTACAGCTACAGCTAACTTTTGACTCTCGGCCGAAAATTGTATTTTCATATAACCTATAATATTATCCAATGATCAGTAATACACTGTAGTTAGCCAAAAGCTTTGAGCAGGATTAGCCGTTGTTGACTCTGCTAATGTTTCTTGCAAAAACATTTTCGTCACGTTTTTGCTCCAATGATTTTATGGTTCCATTAATGATATTTGTAGCTTCTGCCAATGTTCCGTTTTCAGATTGCAGCTGTTTACTTAAAATATTTATCATAATTAGAATGTCATCTATGATTACCAAACTAACTAAAAATTTCGATGACTTCATATTGGACAACAAGCCAACCGCTTCTACACCACTTTTGTCTGAGTTCTGCTGGATTTCGAATTGAAGCGCATTAATTATCGCCGCATAATTTTTTTTCACAGCTTGGCAATTAGTACTTCCGCAGCTCCATCTAGTATCCGATAAGCGACCTAACTCGGTCTTTGAAAGACCCAGTTCTTTTTGGATGTTGATTAGAACATTGTGATTACCAGGAGAAGAAAAATGTACAAAAAGTGCTTCTAGGGTGTTGAAAAAGATTTTGACACTTTCTATTTCTCTACATAAATCGGTTAGGACCAAGTTTAATCTGTTCGCCATACAATGTATGTATATAAATAGCAGAAGGATAAATCTCTCTTATTTTGGCTTGCAAGCCTCCAATTCTACCTGACATAACGCTTGCACCATCATATGATTGTGCAACGATGGGAAAGTTTTTTAGTCGTCTTTACTCTTACAAAAAATTCAGTTATATACGAAAGTATAAAAATGTTTAATCATCTACCTCAACAAATAAAGAACTGTAACAGATACGATATATTTCGCTCATTAGTCAGGCAACATCTAGTCACTAAAGCTTTTTATAGTCTTAAGGAATTTTATGATCATGTGTGTTGGGTAGAGGATCGAATTGGAAAATAGGGTATAATTTTTATGGGTTTTGGTACATGTTGAGTTATAGAATACAATGCGCTGAGTGCGTCTTGGCCTTCCCTTCACAAAATAGTCAAAAAAAATTTTGAATTTGCAAAAAGTTTTTGGAATTAAGTATAGTTTGTTTTTTACTTTTACCACATAGATGTTTTTCTCTTTGTTGTTTGTTTGTTATATCGTTTGTTTTTTATTTTATTTTTATACTGACGACTAAAAAGTTAAATTTTATTTATTTATTTATATTTATTCTGTGTTTTTTTTTTTTTCTCGTAAAGTTCTTATTTATGTTTATTAACCTAATTTGCACCATAAGTTTATAGTTTGAACTAGTGATTTGATTTGTGATTTTTGTCTTTTTTAAGGTTCATAATTGTGGTAAAAATTTGACTTAATTTACTTAGAATTAATTAGTAATAAGAATTTTGCTTTGTCAATGAAAAACAATGGTATTTTTTGGACAATAAAGCTTATTTTGATTTGATTTAGTCCAACTTTTTTAAAATAATTGAGTAAAATAGTACACAGATTTGCAGCATCGCGTTCCTGGGAGCAATTAATAAAACCCAAAAACCTCTCTTCAATTTCAAATCCCTTGACATACCTTACACAAATAGAAAGTTGTTGTTCCTTAAAACTACGCGCTTCATCCACCATTAATGCATACATGCCGCAATCCTTGATTTCGTTAACAATAGTGCTTAAAATCATATTTCCACCAATGTTTAATACGAGGGGCGAATAGCTGACCCAAAATGTGTACACCTACTGCCAAATTCCACAATCTTTAAGGAAATTTGCTAAGATTGTGAGTGATTGTGTACCATTGTGAATGATTGTGACTGATTGTGTAAGGATTGTGAATGATTGTGTCATGATTGTGTAAGGATTGTGAATGATTGTGACTGATTGTGAATGATTGTGAGCGATTGTGACTATTTGTGTCACAATTGTGAGCGATTGTGTAAGGATTGTGAATGATTGTATAAAGACTATGTATAACACTTGGGTTAGAATAAAACAACAAAATATCAAAACTAATTTTTTCTCTAAAATTTTAACAAATTAAAAAATATTACCATAATTAATGTGTTAAGAATATTAAGTAGTATTTTTATCTTTCTTCTACACTTTACTGATTGAGCAGTTGTACAGGGTGTCCCATTTTGGTTGTACATAAGGGATATCTCTGTTGCTATTATTAAAGTTAGAAGGATGCGGCTTTTGCGAACGTTGGTTTCTTTTTTGTCAAATGAAAGATGCCGTCAACAAAAATGTCATCGCCTTTTCGTTTTTCAGATACAAGGTTTTTTTGAAAATGTTGCATTTTGGGACACCCCTTGTATCTTTCATAAGTGGTCCAAAAGGTGACAGCGGGTTCCTATAGATCTTTCTACAGAGATTCCCTTGGCGGTCTAGAAGTGATAGTTTTTGAATTAAGTACCAAACATACGTTTTTTAAAACGAGACGCACTGTATATTAAAAACTCATTGGATAGCTCTACATTTGCTGATTTCAATAATATGAAGATCGATAGGTATATCTCTATTATGTCTGTTTTTGTTCTAAAAAACAATGTGTTTGAAAAGTACTGTATATCTGTAAGGAAAATGAGAAAGGTCTCCGAGAAGGTCTCTTTCTAACACTTTGTTTCTTATGACAAAAACAAAACAATTTTGCTCGAAAGCTGTTAGAGATGAACCTATCAAACTTTATATCATTGAAATCAGCAAAAACAGAGCTATCCAATGAGTCAATAATATAGAGGGTAACTTATTTGGAAAAACAGGTTTGGTTTGGTTCATAATTCAAAAACTAACTTCTTCTTCTAGAGAAAAACTGACTACGCCACTGGAATCTAGTAAAAAGTTCTATAGAAATTCGTTGTCACCTGATGACTTTTGAGAGAACTGAGATATATCAAGGGCTCTCCCAAAATGCAACATTTTCAAAAACACCTTGTATCTGAAAAACAAAAAGGGCGATGACAATATTCTGTCGGTGGCATTTTTCGGTTGGCAAAAAAGTAACCACCGTTCGCGAGAACTGCATCCTCCTAATGCCCGTATTACATCTGTGTATTTTTCCTTATATTGATTCATGTAGTTCAAGTTGACAACCAAAAAACTTCAAAAACTCCAAAAACAACATAAAGTCTGTTTTTTATTTAAAGATAATTCTCCCCAAGTCAAAAATTTAGTAACTATGTTGGCAACACAAGCCTTTTCTACATAAAAAATTTGAAAGCATTGACAATTTTACATTGTATTGCCAACATAATGTCATTTTGACTTTTATATCCCTGAACTACATGAATAAATACACGGAAAAATATACAGACAGATGTAATACGGGCATAACTCTAATAGCAATCAAGTTATCCCTTATGTACAACCAAACTTTGACACTCTGTACAGGGTGGCGCAGAGGAAACGCATGTTTCTCACGTAGATATAAGCATAACATTTTTAAGATAATTTTGTTTTAATTACAGCAATGAAGTAATAATGGTGCACTCGAGGGTGCACTTTTAAATTAATGATGGAAAATAATGTCAGTCAAGTGTTGTCCTGCTTTGTGGGCGCACATCTCCAACCGCTCTGGAAAGTTGTGCATCACACTTGAAACATGCGTTTCCTTTGTGCCACCTATGAATTCGAAATTTTTTAAAATATATACCGGGTGTTTGAATTTGAAAAAATCATCACACATAATGACATCCAAAATTAATTAATGACACAGGAAGATGATGACAAATAAAAGAGAATTTGTTGTGAGGTAGATACTTGGTTTCAAATTAGGATTTTAGTTGCTTGAAAATGTTCTTAATTTTCTGTGACTCAAACATTGATAGTATAAATGGATAGTTTTTAAAATGGATTGGACCATGTGATATATTTCTTTTCTACAACATCCAGCCCTGGGCTGGGATTCTATAACGAATAGAGATATATTCGCTATCTCTATTGACATCCCCTCTTGATTTCGAAAAGAGAGAAAAAGACAGCAACTGACATAGCTATAGGGATAACGATCTATATGCGTTACAGAATCCTGCCTCAGTCTGGATTTTTAGGCCCTCTAAAGACCTCTTAAATAGTTAAATGTCTACTTTTGTCAATTTTCCAATGTGGTATTTTTTAGAGTACCTAGGCAACTGCATAATACTTTTCTATTTCAACCTCTTCTCCAAGATGATGTTCTGCATCATTAAAATATTCCTCTCCACTTTATAAATCATGAAGGCTAATTAATGACTCTGTTGATTCTGATCGAGATTCTGATGCTTCGTCATCAACCACCAATTTAGTCTACATTTTGTACTTTTTGCAGATTGGCTTTTCTTGAGGTTTTAGTATTTTTAAAGTTTCTTTTTTTTTCTTAGTTTTTACTATTTTTCTCTCTATTTTTTATTAATTCTTCCATTTTTGTATTTGTTTTGTTGTCTCTTTTCTTGGCATCTTTCTCCCTCACCCTTAGTAATTTATCTGATGATAATTTCTTATATTTTTCTGAAAATAGCCAACATAAAAAATGTTCTTTACTGTTAGTAGTTTTTTATTTCTCAATATTACTTGGATTTGGTTTTTAAGTTAAACTTTCCTACTAATCAAAAGGGCTTATTAGACTATCCAAGATGCTGTCAAATTTAAATTAACATGTCCAAGAGGCACACAAACCCTTTGTTTGCATGTCAAAGTTACATGTTTTGGATAAGCTGACTATTCAAGGTGCTGTTAACTTGAATTAAAATGTCCGCCAAGAGGCACACAACCCCTTTGTTTGCTTGTCAAAGTCATGTGTTTTGGATAGGCTAATTGGCTTATTATTATAGGCGAAAATAAAGTAAATAAAACCATTTGGAAGGACTCCAAGTGCGACAGATGGTGGTAGATTGGGTAGCGATTGTGTAACGATTGTGAGATATTGTGACACGATTGTGAGAGATTGTGTAACGATTGTGACAGATTGTGTGAGGATTGTGAGAGATTGTGTAACGATTGACAGATTGTGTGAGATTGTGTAACGATTGTGACAGATTGTGAACGATTGCGATCTGATTGTGAATGATTGTGTGAAGATTATGAGAAATATGTACACCGACTGCAAGAGCTATTCACCCCTCGGTTTAATATATCATTCTGTATATCAGAGCTTGTCAAGTTGAAATATTTTTCATGTTGTTCTTTGAACAATGGGTTGTATCGACTTACAAGTTCACAAATTTCTTTGAAATTTCCTTTGTTTTTGGAATTCATTGATTCATCGTGACCTCTAAGGGCAACACCCTGGCGACAAAGTGTCAGTAATATATCCGATATTATTTTGAAATATTCTCTATTTTGATTGATCTGTTCTTTATATGCGCAAGATATTTGGGTAACCACAGAACCTGATTTACATGATTCCTTATATGCCACATATTTTTGATTGTTTTGAATGCGTGCTTTACCTTCAGAATGTTTAGATAATTTCTCTGATATTTTTTTCCAGTTTCTAAATCCGGTTTCAGTAAAAACTGATTCATTAAGGGTGATCCAACGGCCCGCATTCAAAGCGTCGGAAAGGGTTTCGTAGCAGTCTAATTACTACTTAACTATAAGTTGTATTGAAATAATTCTTGTTGTAGCCTAATCTACTAATGTGAAGGCATGTTTTTATACAATTTCTTTTTTTTTTAATAATCCAAATTAGCTCAGAAACTGAGCTTAAAAATCATCAAAAAACCGTTTTTTTGTGTGATTATTTTGACTATTTTCGGAAGCCTTTTCAAAAAAATAATCCTATAGAGACATAGATCTACTTTTCCTCTTCAAAAGGGAACAAAAAAAATATCAAAAAGTTTATCAAAAGCTGAGTAATTAGACTGCTTCGTAAGCACTATTTACTGAAATTTGTAACCGTGGCGTGGCGCCACCATAAATTGAACACGGATGGCGACGAAAGTAAAATTAAACGTATTAAGTGGATTTCGGGGGGCCGTCTGAGTATAAATTTCACTATTTTTTATTTATTATTGCATTTATTTTAGTAAGTTGACTTTATCGATTTCAGGTAACGATGCCTATATTAGTTATCTCTCCAATCGGGGGTTTTGAATTCATTATATCTGTACCTACATGCAATTATTTTCTTTACATCTTATGTAAATTGAAAGGGGTACCTATCCGGTCAATATGTATTTGAATGGAATTTATGAATAAGGAAAAAATGCGTCTCGGAATAATTCTTTTTTATTAATACAAACACGCAGAAAGTACATATTATGTACTATTATATAAACCATTGTAAAAACATACATATTACATATATTGAATTTTTTTGACAGCTGTCACAGCCAATTAAATTTAGTTATTTTGTGTCATGTGACTTAAGTCATCCAATCACGTGAACATTATACTGAAAGAAAAGTGATCCCATAAGCTGTTTTCACTTTATGACGTTGCTATGAATACATTTTCAGAAAATTCCTATCCGAAAAACCCTCGAACATTGATAACTGCTCAGAAATTTCATAACAACTTTCTCAAGCTTGTTGCTCATAGGAAACAAACCTTCACCATCGGCGTCGATCTCTTTCCAAACAACAAGCTTCCGAAATCTGTTATAAATTTCTTCCGAACAATTATCAATGTTTTTGAGTTATTACCACAGCTCATTACTATATTACTATTGATTGAAGAACAAACATGGCAAAAGTAAGTTTATTTGTCACTCATTTGTAAAACGTCACTTATCAAGTCACAACATAAACAACGAAAATTGATTTTTACAAGCTCTACTGACTTGTAAAATAGACAGCTAAACTGTAATTTTTTTTTATCTACAAGCGTTTGGTTATGACGTTTTTACATTACCATTTTTCTAGTATTTCAGTTATGTCATAAGACTCATAACACAACTAGTGGTGTTATGGTCTAGGTTATGAATTCATAACACAACTAGTGGTGTTATAGACTTGGTTATGAATCCATAACACAACTATTTTTGGTGATTTGACAAATGTCAAAGTTAAACCTGTAAAGGTAAAATGAAGGTACCTAGACAACTACTAATAAACGAAAATAATTGAAAAAACATGCTTAATTTTTGCTTTGTAGATAAAACGTTGTACATAACACGTGCGTTTAAACATGACTACAAAATTCGTATGATTAGAACGACTCGGTCTACGACCTCATCTTTCTAATTTTCCGCACTCGTTATTGTAATCATGTTCATAAATGCACTAAATGTAAATAACTATTACAAGTTAGTAGACTTATTTATTTTCAAAAAATCAGTTTTATCACAAGAATAATTACTTGTAGGTATATATACCTTCTGGAAGAGTGACAAATAAATTATTGTACATTATACGCCAGGTAACAGTGTTTACTGGCTCTTGAAAGTGACAAGCTCGCCTGACGGCTCGCTAGTCATTTCCTTCAATCGCCAGTAAAACATGTTTTGCCTGGCTAATAATGTAAAATACTAACATCCTCAATTGACTATTCAGGGTAGTCAAAAGTGTTTGGGAGGTAGGGGTGTCTCTACAGGTCTTTTAATGACTTGTTTTTTTATGTCTCGGATAGGCATATTACGTGCTACTCTTGAATCTACAATCTCTGGCAAAAGGCAATTGTCAAAAAAATCTACAAGGTAATCCTGCATTTCATGTGACCAGAAAGATTCGTCTGCAAGGATAGTTTCTGTTTTCAATCCGTGGGGCGTCCACACAGCGAAGACACAGTATAATCGTTTAGCTACATGTAATTGGCCCTGTACTTGGTAAAACCACTTATGTTTTTTATTGATTACACTATTTTTGTCCCAAAAAGTAATTTTTCTTTTTATTATGCCTTCTTCAGGGGTCATTTCCCTTGCAGAATATGGACACTTTATTTCCACAATACCCTTTTCCTCAATTATACCATCTGGTGAAGCTGCTAGAAATTGTTGTTCTTGGTCAATGAATAGCCCACATGGTTCAATTTTTTTGCCAATAAGTTTTTCTAGTGCATTTCTAGCTACTGATTCATATTTGTTGCCATAGTCGCATGCAGCCGAATAAAATTTTTTGGGATATAAAATAGATTGTACCAACGATTTACAACCGGTTGTAGGCCTTCGTCGGCAAACCACACCAAACATAGATGCCGTCAGCCGTTTTCGTCTTTCCAAATACCATAGATCGGAATTTTGCTGCTGCCTTGTCAAAACTTCAATGGTTTTTATGTCTTCACTACTCCTACATAAACTTTCTTTGAAATCGTTTTTGGCATGTCTCAATTCTTCATCTGTCATATCTGGTTTTTCACATTTTTCTCCATAACTTTTATTATCTTCAGTTTCAGTGTTCTTTTTTGAAAACAACGGTTTTCTACAGGCGGGTTTTCTATTTCGGTTTTTTTCTGTCCTTCTGAGTTCCATTTTTTTAGAAAACTTGCTTGGACTTTTTCCAGGAGATAGATGTTTACGTGCCGTGTAGATTACTCTCTTTGTATTGTGACTTACTACTGCAGCTGCGCATCTGCTTTGATAGGACCGTCGTTGGCAATAATTAACTCGTTTTCCTCCTATAAATTTTGCTATAACAGAGTTAAACTGTTCAACGCTATTATTTTCCACATCATGGATTAGACTCTCAGCATGGCGTACTAAATAATTTTTGAAAGTGCACAGTTTCTGGTACAAATCTAAAACAAAATAATATCAAAAGTGTGATTTTTAAATATTATTACTCTCGACTTTTACATGATGAAAATCTGTATTGAAAAGTTTAGTAAAACGATTTGCTATTTTTACAAAACATGGACATAGTAAGTTATGTCAACACAGTGGCTTCATCAGATGTCTAGTAACAATGGAAGTACGAAGTAGTTGGTTGTTTTGAATATAGCGTATAAAATAGTTACAGACTCGGTTACAGACAACCTAATATACAAACAATTTGAGAAGTTTTTAAAATATCAATTTTTTTTTCCATGGATGTTTTAATTGTACTGATCAACGACCATATAAATTTTCTACTTACCAGTCGATTTTAAATCATTTAAAACATTATTTTCGTTATAGGCCTTGTAACAAAAATATCCCAAATCCTGACATTCTCGGTGTTCGTCAAAAACATGACTTATCGAGTTATTCATGTCCCGTTTTAAGTTGATGATTTTCTGGTCTAAAGACCCATTTTCATTCTTCCTATGTGATATTGCCTTGGTTATTGCCCATCGTAGTCTAAGCTGATTTTGCTGAAATAGAATTTCATATTATGGACTAAACACTTTTTTTTAAATTATTTATTTTTAAACAATCTGAATATTTCGTAATATTTTTGGAATCCTTATTGATTTCTTGTTATTTTAAAAAATATATGATATTGTGCAAGGGGCCCTCTTGCGTAATCCCTAGCTGCAATATATCTAGGACTTAATTTAAATACATGGTTTGCTTTTGTAACGTTAATTTATCCTTACTTCAATTATTTTTCGAAGATTTAGAGGACCTGCTTGCGTATCTTTCACGAGATCTCTAATTTTTTTTGAATAATTGCGCAACAAATGATTTTTGCATTCTATTTTTTTAACACGAATGTTTTCATAAGGGTGAACTTCTAAAATTCTCTTGTACGTGTTGCTGTCGCCATCTGCTATAAGTCTGTTATATATCAGACCATACATCTCAATGCTTCGCTGAAACCCTTCTGCTATTATATTTGCCTCCATGCTTGCAGCAGAGCCAGTCCAGTTTTTGTAGCATTTGTGATCTTTTGGGGTGGAATTCTCTTTTCTTTTGGAGTCACATACCAGGCAAAATTTGTTTCGTACCCCTATGAATAAAACCTTTTTAGTGCGATATCCCACAATTGCTGCAGCACCTGATAAAGAGTTATATCGGTTTCCATAAGACCTCTTTGCCCAACTGCCATCCGCTACAACTGTTATTGTTGGAATGCCACTTTCATTAATATCACCAGCAGCAATAGCTAAAGCTTTTTCTTCGTCTGCTGCATCCTTCATAGCTTTAATACTTGTTTCTTCCCAAACATTGGAAATCTCATCATGAACAGTGCTATACATACGTCCTGACATGCACGGTATATCCAGAGAAGCTGATATTTGCTGCAAGTGGGAAAGGCCAGAACCAATTGACATTACACCAAGGACAGCATCTTTGTTTATGTCATCGTTCGATTCTTTGCAGGTTGGAATAATACACGTTTCATTGCACATATTACATTTAACATGGATGTGTGATAGGAAGCCTTTACGTTCTTCCTTAATAATACGCATATTTTGAAGGGTACATGCAAAATGGGGCGCATGATTTGAATAGCGTACAAGGGAAGTGATAAAGAACCCTAAGTCCACTATTCTTCTACCTTCAAGTACTTCGTCAATACTTATAGAGCCCTAAAAAATATTTACGCATAAGTAGCTACCTGCATTTTAATATAATAGTTATTTATGGAACAAGTGTGTAAAGTGAAAAAAGGTGCTTTACGCACGTATTGCATACAAAATTTTTCACTTTACGCACTAGTGCGTGAAGTAATTTACCAGAAAACTACTAAATTGACAGTGTCGACATCTGTCATTGACATCACTTTGCGCACTAGTGTGTGAAGTGAATTACTTTACGCACTAGTGCGTGAAGTGAAATTTTACGTCTTCTGAATAGTGCGTGAAGTGAGTATTTTACGCACGGTTGTAGAAAAACAAAATAAAATTTATCCATGCACTCATAAACGGATAGGCTAAAACTAAATACTTAGGAGGTAAATTAGTAGGTATGATTTCCTACCGTTCTATCATTTGTTTTCTCATCTTCTCTATTGGATTTGTTTCCATCACTTTCAGTTTGTATTTCGTGTGATTCCTGCATAATTTCATCTGTATGGTCAAAGTTTGTATGGTCAAAGCTTGGGTCAAAGTTTGTATGGTCAATATTATATTCAAAATCAATCTTAAAATATTGAAATGGTAATTAAAACGTAACATGGTGTTAAGCCGAAAGGTACTTACCTCAATTTCATTGTTTAAATAACTTAAATCTCGTTCCCTTCCACATTCGGCACTCGCGACTTCGATATTTTCTGAATTGGTTTCCCTTGACGTTGATTCTATGTTCTCCGAAACGGTAGCTACGAAACAAACTCCAAATATAACGCTGTATATAAGTGATATACAGTGTAAGGAAAAAGTATAAACAATCTCAGAAAATTTTGTTCTGACTAGTAAAAGAATTATTAAAATACAGAATAGACAAGAAATACTGGTTGAAAAAAAACTTTCGAAAAGTAACAAATACGCATTCAAACAAAAAATGTTTCAAAAAAACTAAAATTTACTTTTTCCCAAGATGGATTTTGACATTGAAAACTTTGAAACATAAACAATAATGTTGCATTTACATTCACTTCGAAATCCAATTTGTCTTGAAATTGACGTGCTTGCCATATTGCCCCAGCACAGATCCATTTACCAATTTACATTGAAATAAATTTGAAGTTCACTTCAAAGTGCACTTCAAATTTTGGCCAGCCGTTTGCCGAGGTCGAGCAAAAATTTATGAAACGTCAAATTTTTAGATCATTCATCATGATTCTCATAAAATTCTGACTTTTTGACTTGACGTTTTTGTTCTGCAATGTAAATGATAATGATAAAATATCAAGCGTCAAATTTAACTTGAAGTTTGAAGTGAATGTAAATGCTCCTTTTCACTTGGTCCTGATTGGTGGCAAAATGCCGTGTCCCTGTAGGTTGGAATCAGTTTTATAATGCATGTCGTGCAAATGACATGTTGCTACAATAGGGCATGTCCATGTGACATCACAAATTAGTTTGACAATCGCCCTGAGGTAAAACAAATCATTTATTTACATTGGTGTAGATTAGGCCGGTTATGTTTTATGCGGTTTTCACAGCTTTTTTGCAAATTTTTGTGTTATTTTGTTTCAAAAAAGTTAAAGTAAAGTGTTTATGTTCCAGTCTATGTGGTCTTTTATCCAGGAGTTTGCTAGGTTTTTCTATAATGGATTAAATTCAGGGTTTTTCCAACAAAAATCAAAACCAAGTGTCACAAGAACAAATAAGTATAGTTACTCTATAATTCAATCTATTTTTCTGTCAGATCTTCTCTTTTAACAAAATTAATCAATTTTTTTCTTCTTTCTTGAGCTAACAAATCAAACCTTCCATTGTTATTTAAAATTGATGGAAACCTATGGAAGGATATTGTATGTGTGCCTTGCGCTATACTGCCAGAATTAACAACTAAACAAACTCTAGGCATGTCCAAGAAACTTCTGGACCACACAAAAGATATTTAATTAAAAAAATCTAACTAAAAACCTAAAAAACCACTGTAAATACAGGTATTCTTTCGATCTGAACAAACTGTAACTGACTGTAATCACATCAGGTTTGTTTATGAGGCGTCAAAAAAGCAGTTAGGGCCAATGAAATCGTGGTAACACCAGATGACAATTGTTTGAAACAAACCTCAAGTGACTTCGATTAGTTTGTTCAGATCGAAAGAATACCTGGAATATATCTTTGTTTTACCTCAAGGCGACTGTCAATAGTGTCAAACTGTCAGATCGTGTACTTGCCTGAGCGGCATATTTATGTTTCAAAGTTGACAGTGTGAAAATCTATCTTGGGAAAAAATACAGTATAGGTACCTATATCCTATTCACAATCCGTAGTCCAAAGGGACAGGTAAATTTATCACCTTTGCCTATCAAATAGCATTGATACGTGATAAATTTTACCCGATATTTTACCTGTACCTGTGGACATCGGATTGTGACTAGATAATACATCTCGATTTTAATATATGTATGTACATACAGTAGTATAACTGGTTAACTGGTTCTAATATTAATAGTTAGCGCTACTATCTTTCTACTTGTAGGTATCTACTTACTGTTTTGAGTCTTTGATTTTGGAAAGCTTTTTCTTTTCAATCGTTTCGCATTAAGTCTTAATCGGGCTTTATTCCCTCGACGGTATTTAGCTTCTTTATTCATATTATTATTTAACTGCCTAGCTTACCTAGCAATGTATCTAATAAATATTTCCCGGGATAATTCTTAAACTATGTAAACAAGATTAAAACAGTTAGGTGTACTAATTAATCAATATAGTTATTACCTAATAACAATAGCGCAATACCCAATAAGTCACAAATAAAACGTTTTTTATAAATATGTGAACGATAAAAATAAAAAATATTCAACAGTAAATAAACAACAACAATGTTCGCTGCTCTGCGGCCGGACCTGTCGCGTGGATTAAAATATTCCTTCATAGTCTCGCTCTACTTCAATAAAGAGATAGACTAAACATCGCGGTCCACCTTTTTCTTACCTCCCGCTTCCTACCGACCCGAAAAATAACCACAGACAGGGCTGTTGGATCAGCCTTAACGTTCTTCTTACCAAAGAGCCGACAACAAAAGCAAAATACTGCATCAATGTGTACGCTATATTCAATCCAGCCATACTGTTTAAAATATTTTGAAGAAAAACTTCGGTTTTGAATTCCAACTTTTGTTGATGGGTATTTTTCTAGAATAGGTTGTCTTGGTCCTGTTTGCAAAGTGCCCAGGTCCAAAACTGGCAAATCATTTGATGGTAACAGGTCATCATGAGTCGTTTCTCTAGGGATAGTTTCCAGCTCTAAAAAAAGGAAAAGGTGAACTTTTATTATCATATAATATCACAAGAGAAAAAAATTTGTTGGCAAAATTTTCGAAAGTTATGAAAGTTTGTTGCTTGGCAATTTCGCAAATGACATATTTGACAATGTCATGAGCGAAATTGCCGAAAAGCAACAAATTTGAATAAAACCTTAAGAACAATTTTGCCTACACAATTTTTTCTTGAGTGGTATTCGTCATGACTATTTCACGTAAGATTTTGAAAATGAATAGAATGCAAAAATAAGAATAAAAACTTCAAATTAAAAATATCAGTTTGACAATGTCAAAAAATGGTTGCTGAAATACCATGTTGTTGGTATTGCCCAGGTAGCAATATTGCCAGCTGAATACTTACCGAATTTATTGCCGGTGTAATACACTATACAGTCTATGGCCGTTTGCACCGACCATTTTAAGGAAGCCTTAGCGATAAGTATTCCTTAAAGTTAGACTTTTCCATATGAAAATGTCATTTTATTTATTTATTTATTTATTTATTCATTTATTTACGTATAAGAAAAATACATTTGAAGTTGAACAGAGTTTAAATCTAAAAAAAAATCTAACCTAAAACAATTCTCCTGGCCTTCGTCTTAAATTCATCCAGAGATAAACCAAAGAACTCAAGGCCCTCACAGAACTTATTTACCTTGGCAGATATTCTATTCACAGGACTGAATAGTAAGTACCAGGTTCGACAGTAAGGAATGTGCAGTAAAGACTTACTTCGAATCTGATAACTTTGAATGTGTAGATTAAAACATTCAAGACATTCGTGGCTTTTTATGTAGTAGTTAAGGATTTTAAATGCAAAACAGACATCAAAATATTTCCTTCTGCGAACAAGAATAGATAAGTCTAAATAAGTCATAGTCAGGTCATCACTGAGAATCACACCACTCAAAGAAAGTTTGTACCTTGCAAACTTGATAAACTTGTGTTGAACACTCTCAAGCCTATTGATGTGGATCTGATAGTAAGATGACCAAACTATGCATGAAAATTCAAGAACGGACCTGACCAGTGATGTGTAAAGAATTTTGATAGGGCGTATACTTGTAAAGTCCCTAGTAGCTCTCTTAATAAAACCCAACATTTTATTAGCCCTGCCAATTACCACTTCAAAATGCTCAATGAACATTAGCCTAGTATCTAGATAGACACCAAGATCTTTAATGATAGAAACTTCAGCCAAGCGAACATTGTTTAAGTAATACTGCAAGGGAACACTATGGGTGCGTCTACTGAATCTTATACAACAGCACTTATCGATGTTGAGGGACATGTAATTAAGCTGACACCAATCGTGAACGATGTTAAGATCATTTTGCAAAATAAGTATGTCTTGAGCTGACGTCACCTGACGATACAACTTCAAGTCATCAGCAAAAAGTAAAAAATTTGAGGAGGCCCAAGTGAGAACCTTGGGGTACCCCAGAGGATGCATGGAAAAGAGAAGAAAGATAGCCATCGATCTTGACTTGTTGCATTCTGTTAGTAAGGTATGATTTCATCCATGAAAATAAATGTCCAGAAACACCGAAACTTGAAAGCTTTGAAAGAAGGATGTTGTGATTTACCTTATCAAAGGCTTTACTGAAGTCAGTATATATTGCATGAGTTTCTGCATTATTAGCAAATGATGAATTTATAAATGTTGTAAAGAGAAACAGGTTCGTCTCAACGGATCTACCGGCTGTAAAACCGTGCTGTTGACTGATCACAATCTGATGAAATATTTTTGAAAGAATTTCTTCCACACACTGCTCAAATAATTTTGGAATCGCAGACAGAATGCTGATGGGTCTGTAATTTGTTACATCATTTTTGCTGCCTGACTTGTAAATAGGACAAACGTAGGAGAGCTTCCACATTTCTGGAAAAATTCCAGAAGATAATGATTTGTTGAAAATATTAAATAGAGGAAGATACAAAGTGTTAGAACAAGATTTTAGTACTCTGTTGGGAATACCATCAGGTCCTGCAGACTTGTTGATGTCCAATTGCGTTAAAGCCCTCTCAATATCGGTTGGATCTATGACAATGCTTGAAACATTCTCAAATCGATCAGCAAAGGTTCCAGCGTCGGAATTTCTCTGAGGGTTATAGACGGAGGAGAAATAGACAGCAAAAAGATTAGCTATGTCAACACCGTTGGACGCCTTTTCTGAGGCAAGAAACATTTCGTTAGGAATAGTACCCTGATTAGATTGGTGCCTATGGTTCTTTCAGTATCACTTATGTATAATTTATAGCACTCTTTGGTGAGGTTTTTACAATCTCTCCGAAGTGTACTAAATGTAAAGTAATCCAAACCACTATTCGACCGCTTAAATCGTTTGTGAGCAATTTTCTTTTGAAAAATCAGATTTTTCAATTCGTTAGAGAACCAGATAGGAAACTTGTCGCTGTAAGAATGTGCCTTTATGGGAACAAACATATTAAAGCAGTCAAACAGTACCGAGTAAAAGCTCTCAACAGTTTCGTTTAGATCCTCCATCATAATGGATCGCCAATCAAGGGAAAGAAAATATTCATTAACTAAATCAAAATTGGCATTTTTAAAGTCATAAGAAAAATAATTAAGAGGCTTCAGAAATTTAGCTTTAACAACAGGTATGGAAAACTCTCGAGC